CAGGGATACTTGTCAGCAGCTAAAATACCGCAACACCTTTATATAACAAAGAAATACTTTTAAACTTAATAGGACATTAAAATAATAAACAAAAATAAGATCAAATTATTACCATACAACCATGACAATACGCAGTCACTTTTATAAAACTTCTATTATAAAGCTCAGTATTAATACTGATATTATTTCTGAAACATCTGTGAAAGACGTTTGCCTTAGATTTATTATTGAATACTTTTTCATATCGTACCTGACAATGCATTGACATGATATCAATCTTCCTCAAGAGAGAAAAAAAACTTTTATTTCTTTAGAAACTTACATCAAGATTATTTAATATGAATTATAATATTTTTGTTGTTTATAAATCAATATTTATCGTATTGAGTGTAGTTAATGATAATTACATTTATTCAAATCATATTAGAGAAAAAACAGCCGATTCCCAAAAATAGGCTGAATAACAAGCAGAATCACTGCACACCAAGAAATTGTACCATATCGTACTTACTAGCCTGCTCTTCTTTATTCTCTAGGCTACCGTATATTATACTTTTACATTTATTTTACCAGGTTACAAAAATCTTGTTAATTTTAGTTCAAATAATTAATTAGGTATATAAGTAATGAATGAGTGTTTAATATTTAAAACATTTGAAAACTTGAATATAAAATTAAACAATAAAACAATTTGTTGGTAAAAAATAGTGAAAGCACAACACAAAAATACTGATTATACTTGAGTTTATTCTTGAGTAATCAAAAACTTTGGTAAATTATGATTATCAATTAAGTATGTATAACAATTTACCTTTTTAAATGAGGAATAAATAGTTTCTATTTTTGTCAATTAATACAATATTTATCAAATTACACTTATAAATATAACAAAATCTAACTTCTAGCTTAAATTTAATTTAATAAGAGTTTAAAGTTTCTAAAAATATTTTAGAATTAAAAGAGGGAAAGATAAAAGGTTTGGATAGTTACTAAAAATGTTATTTTCTTTGAACAATAACAGTTATTTATGAGTTAAAAATAATTATGGCTAAATGTAACTAACAAGTAATATATGCTATCGTAAAATTTCTTTTAAAACAATTTTATCACTCTTTACCTATGATAACAAAAAAAATCAATAAACATTAAATTAATTTTGAAAGTTTGTTAAGTAATCTGTCCTATTTCTATTAATTAACTATAAAAGTATATTTTCTGAGTAAAAATAATGACTAAATGTAAGTAACAAATAACATATATCAACGTAAAATTCTTATCAAAGCAATATATCACGTTTTATATGAAAAAGAAAAGTTCAATATTAAATTTATTTTAGATAAATTTTTATTGTAAGTAACAATAATTAATTTATAATACAATCAACATCCGTGACGGTGTCCCTTTAGATTTTATCGGACAATATCACACGTTGGGGACCCATCAATTATTTACCCGAGTCAACAATACGAATTACAATCGAAACTTTCTATTAAATTATCTAAAATACTTCATTTTTTTATATGTTATAAATATATATTTAATTCATTTATTACATATTCATCCTATACTATTTATTTAAAAAAATATTATCTTATTTTTATGATAACTTTAGTAGTTTTAGAGTTTAGTTTGATACATAAACAAGAATTATAATAAATAAGTATATTCAATATCCATACAAAAAAAACAGATTTGCTTACGAAGAAGTCAAATTCAATGCAAGTAATTCCGTGGTTAAAGCATTGTATATTTTTCAATGTAAAACATTTCGTTATTTATAGTTATATTTTGTCCACATTCATCAGTATCTGAGAAATGATTCATACAAAATTTAGCTAAAAATACAAATATTTCACAGCGACGTCGTTGACGGCTTTAAATAATGGATAGCATCCCGAATATGGGATTTTGTTCACTGTAAATTGTATTTTATTCAGTCATGGCTTATTATTACCAGCTATGTTTAGTATTTAATTAATAAATTATTTATTATTATTATTAATAAGAAACAATTAATAAATACTGTAGTATAAAATGTATTAAATTGGTGTTTTTTTATTTATTAATTTATTCATAGCGTAAAACGTTATTTTCGTAAGAAATATCCTTTAGTACAATTTTATAATATTGACTCTCAACAGCGAGTGTAGTGTCGTCCAATCGGATGCGATTTGGTATTGGTGAGGCAGTATTAAAGCACTTCAAGTAAACATACAAGATTACCGTTGTAAACTGAAATAAAATGGTCCATTAAGTAAGATTAAACCTTCTATTATGCAAATAGTAAGTCGGACCAAAACACGGGTCCCAGGTGCGTATCGGTTTTGTAGGAGCTGTATATGGTAGCCCCTACCATTTGTTACTGACATAAAATAAATTATACAGTTATTTAAAAGTGATTATTTAAAACGAAATATTTATTTTAAAGAATATGTTATATGCAAGTAATTAAAAACATAGAAATAAATTTGAATTATTCCTGTAGCTACGGACATTTATCCAAATTATTTGAGGAGTTATCATGTGATTCGATTGAGAATAATTACGTCACAAACATTCGTTTTAAAGAATGGAAAATAATTTCCTTAGTAAGGGTCTCATACAATTGCATCAGGTGTGCGTTCGTTAACATATCGTCATACAGTCCAATCCAATTGTGGCCTGATTGTAGTTTATTGGATACGCAATCCGTGTTACATTAATTTACGTCGATATGAGATTTAAACTTTCAACAGAAGCTAAATTTAAACTCGAATTTAATGTTATATATTCAATGGATATTTTTTATGTCCCGAAGAGGGTTGATGTCAGGCAGGCGGCTGGTCGTAAAAACAATTAGCCAAAACTATTTACACCATGTAAGGCAGACCCTGGCTAAAGCTGGGAAAATGCTAGGAAGAAGAAGATTTAATGAATATTTTTATACATAATTTAATGAGGAATATTCCATACTTAGATTGGTGTCATGAAGTTAAGTGTTGAACCATAAAGCCTGACCAAGCATAATTCAAATTACCATCGCCCTCCAGTAAGAATATTCATCAACTGCCTTCATTACATGCTAATGACGTAAATAGAATTAATGTGAACTAGGAGAACTGGAGATTTTAAACACCATAGTAAACTCGTTAAATACAAATGGAAAAACTAGTATAAAAAATATCCACCAATTGAAATAACAAGGTGGTCTACTCTTCCTTTCTTCCTTCCAATTCCTTCCATAGTTGGTTTTAATACCTGCTCTTACTAATGCTTTCTATCGACTAATATTTTGAATAGTATATTAAAAAAATTTAAACTTCAATCAAAATACTATAATTTGAAGAATATTTTAATTAATTTTATTTTTAATAATAATAAATAAATAATGGACCTTTCGCTGAGATATAAATTTCTTTTGGACTTCATCTTAAACATACCAATATGAAATCTCTGTCTTTCGCAAATACCTATACATTTAAATAAAAATTGAAATTTCGAATTTATATAAAAAAAATGAAGGAGAGGATAGTATCTTTGTGTTTTCCCCTAATTACGGCTAACCAAGACGAAGTAGTCAGGATATAGGTTTGAATCAATAATAAATAAATACGAAAAATATTCTTTTATTCAAAAGACTTTCATATACCTATACTAAGGTTACATATTCTTTTTTTATATACTAAAAATTAAAATGTAGTCATTAAAATTTTACGATCTTTTATCAGCGGAATGTAGGGCATAACAAATCAGAATACAGTAGGGCAGGGGTAGGGGTTTCAAGTAACTAGTTAGCATAACGTCTGCTCGCATATTCAGCAGTCTTTGTCCATGCCCCCACTTCAGACTCCTTCACTATGCAAAGCAGTTCTGTATTGGCGATTGCGTTGAAGTCGGGAACGTTCTTGAATTGATAGTTGGGTCAAGTTTGGAAGTAAAAGTTAAGTGTGAAAGAGCCTTAGGAATTTTAATTGCTTTTGATAGATTGATCATTAAATATTCTATTGTATCTGATAAAAAAAATTTGTATAATTACAATGTTACATTTATACCTACCTTGGAGTTGTCTCTTAGATAACCTTTTAAAAAATAGAATATACATATAAAAGGTGTCAACGTTATATTCTCTTTTGTTAAATTTATAAAAGAACCGTAGCTAAATGTCATGACATTTACGACACTCGTTAAAATTAATAATAATATTCAAACTTAAAAAAGTTTGTTTGATTTTATTTTTTTTGCTAGAAAACTTCAAGAAAGGAGGTATTGAAAAAACATATGATATAATTTTGTAAAATTGAACTGACACGTAAGATATGCCATGTAAAATTTGTATTTAAACAATTTTATCACTCTTTATATATGACCTACGAAATAAAAAAGAAAGTTTAATAAATGTTAAATTAATGTTGAAAGTGCTATTGAAAATATATATTTCAGGAAAATATTAACACCAATTGATTTTTAATTAGGTTTAACTCTGTTACAAGTCTCTTTTGAATGTGATTTTTAAGTATATGTATATTTTATTAAGCCAAACCGAATTATGTGAATTGATGAGTAGGTTTTGTCATATTCACAAACGATAAAACCTCGTTCATACTCTCACTTTTGGGAACGCACCTTTCGTATAGAGGCCTTGAATACCACCACCTTCTAAATTCTTTGTAAACGGTTTTAGCCTCAAAACTGTGTTTATTGTTCAGAAACTCACAAACTTGGCAGATTCCTCTGAACTTTTCAACTAAATTTATGACATAATTCTTTCTCCAACGGTGGAAACTGTAGTAGATCTTTGGATTTTTTATGATGTACTCAATAAGACCTGTTAGTTTATCGCTGGATGTGGATTCTGCGTTAATATAAGAACCCTCGGGAAGGAATCTAAAATAATAGTTCAGCAGTATAAATTACTAATATTACGATTGTCTAAATATAATCTAAAAAAAGAATCTGATAGATTTTGGACCAAATTTGTCCATGACTAATATCACTAACAGGTTTTGGATTCAATGTCAGTCTTACCTTCGATAATTGGCTCCACCCAAAACAACAGGTACAGCATGATGATGGTAAGCTGTCAGTACCTCATCAGTTACATAATCTTCATCAAAGCTGTCTTCAGGGACAAAGTAGAAATAATACTCCCTTTCAATAGCTTCCATACATCCTCCTTTAGGACAGTTCTTATGACCACATCCATATATATCAAATATTAAACCATTTTGTTCAAAACCTCGCCTCAATCTTCTAGCCAGCAATAATCTGTTATTTCTGGTGTGGCATTTCGTAACAACCCAAGCCATTGCTTTTTTCTTTTGCTTCAAATGCTTTTTTTCTTCTTCATTTAATATTGTCATATTAGAATTCCAATTCACCACTGATCTGGGAGCAACAACATTACCTTTTAAGTCCTTAACTTCAATAAAGGGACTTACAATATCCGAATTAATTTTGTACGTCCAAGTCCAATTAAAATAATTATCCATATTTATATTACATATAGGCACTTCGTCAGAGGAAACGTCGCTGTAGAAAATATATTTTTGCTCATCAGACCTCTGCTTTGGAAAGAATGTCTTTTTCCACATCTTGATCTTGTTTATATCAAATACTATTGCATTAAAATTGGTGATATCATCATTAAGAAAATCCTTCTTGGTCGTCAAATAACAATTCACGTATCTGCAATCACGATCTATAAAAGGTTTTTGTCCTTCACCAATTTTATTTTCTGTGTCATTGAACATTGTCCAAATTAAAATGTATTTCATAATACCCTGGTATTTTGCGAACTTATATTGGTACGGGCTCGGTAGTCCATTGCTCTCTTGATGTTTTTGCAATTTATTCATATTTGAATAAGCTGTGTGAAAAGTATAAAATGCTAGAACTGCATACATAATTAGTCCACTACAACTTACTAAGAAGAATAACTTTGGTACAGATTCTGATCTGAGAACAAAATGCATGATAGTATCTTCAGAACTGACATTGGAGCACTAATTAAAAGGTTGATTTTCATTTAAGTTAAGCGTCGCAGATGACGAGAGTGCACGAGGAATGCAAAATAAACAAATATTTCCGCTGGAACTTATAAATAAATTTATAAAACTCGACACAATAATGTAAAGTACTCCATAATTCATGATTCCCATTTAACTATTAGAACCCAACCATTAGTAATCATACTAACCAATGATTTGATTATAAATAAAATATTTACAGTATAAATGAAATGGCAACAGACTTTGAACATTAAATATATGAAGTGAAACCTCAAAAGAGCAGTCCTTTTACACGCATTCACGAAATGCTTTCGAGAAAAATTTTCTATCAGTCGATGTCGCCCTCTATTTACTAAGAACTGTTTCGTTATAGACGTGAATGTTTCCATTGTTTATATTTATCTGACATGTCATTCTTTACATATAGTGTACAAACGAAATATCTTTTATAATACTAATTTTATGATTATCAATTGTTTTGTATAAATTGCTAATTCCTTATACGACAAACAAAAAAATATATGACAAGTATTCGAGAAACGATAAATTAATTAACAAACATATAAGAAAGACACTAACAAAATAGTTCCATTTTCTATTTCTAGTAGCAAAATATAATTTCTTATGAAATAAATGTATACTTGTGTAATGGAAACAAATCATGCTCTTTGCATGTAGGACGTAGAGTCTTCGGCAAATATGGACAACGCGTATGAAGTCAAACAGAATTACGTATTTCATAAAAATGTACCCCTTTGGTGCACGTGACAAGGAGTTTTTTATGTTGTTATTTGTTACAACTTATGATTTATGCTAATGGAATGAATCCTTTTCCATAAAAAAGAACGTATACATCTTAAAAATAAAACATCGATCAAATCTAAAATCGATCGATAGTAACAATGAATATTTATTAACTTAATTATTAAATTGAAATGCTCTTTATATCAACACAAATCGACCTGCCAAATACATGGTTTTATTTAAATACAAAATACTTGAATAGAGAATTAATTTGTATATTAAAATGCATATCTACAACACCTCAGCGATTCAACAGTGCGTGTTGGACGTTTAATTGAAATGATGCCCAATAACAACGAAAATTGAAAACCGGCGAGTGCATTGTGAGATAAGTTCATTTGATATTTTATACGTTGCTTATTAAAAAATATATTTTTATACATTAAATAACTGCTTTTATATACGAGGTTATTAAAATGAATCTTTTATATCAAATATAAATAATTGCCTTACCTATATTAGTAACGTTGTATAATAATAGACATACGACGACTTGTATGGAGAAATTCATTACTCATGAGAAAATTAGCTTGAACAGCTGCCCTGAGAATATTAAGGTGGATATGTTCCTAACTTAAGATAACAGATGTCAAAACAATTATAAGTTAGAACTGAATTACAAGCTACATAGAAACTACTAGTATTTAGAAATAAAAAGTTATTTTATATCAATTTCTCGTAATGTTTTTCTTATGTTTAAATGAAACTTATATTTTTCGGATGTAGTACGCGTATTTTATTATTATCTTAACTACACACGACCGACGTTTCGGTTACTTTACAGCAACCGTGATCACGAGCAGACGAGACGAGATTTTTCTTATGTTACTGTCAAACTTTGTACCTACGAAGCCTATTTAACTAAATTTATGTTATAGGATTACTTGCTTTCATTGTATATTTGTTGAAAATGTACATTTTTTTAAACGATAAATGACATGAATGGTGGCGATCGAAAAACCACAATGAAATATATACCTACATATATTGTTTTGATATAATTTTTTAATACTTTGACGAATTAAATATATAACTCAATTCTTTAAGATATTTACTAATACTTTAGTAAGTACAAATATTAAAACAAAATCAAATTATAATAATGACATGTCTCTAGCAGAAATTCTTTGTAATGCCTCAGGCACAATTTTTTTTTTCATAGACGAGACATGACAATTCAATACGCCTATCAATTGTACGTTAGCAAAATAACATAAAAACAGTTTTTATAATAAAAACGATAAGAATTTGCTAAACTATTACTATGAGCGAAAGATATAACACTAGTGTTTTTGACTTTAATAGCATTAAATATCCAATCTGGCGAACACAAACTTTTACTTTATCTATTCCATTGATAAAACACCTGTATCTTATACAGTTGTTTTATCAATCTTATACTTGGATCTTGTACTTTGGAATGTAGATATGTTTAATGTATATTTTCTTATAGAAAGTTGTAGTATTTGTAGATAAAGATATTTGTAGATTCCTTAAAGATAGTTAGAGATATATAGTGATATAGACTAATAACAAATTAAATAGGCACCTAAATAACATTACCGGGATTTCTGTACCGGCCGCAGAGTTCGGCATCCGACGACAAATATTTAGGGCATTCAGCCATTCCTACATTCCATGGTTCAATGTTCAAATAAGCCGTTATATCATGAATTATTGGACTGTCTATTAATCTATACCTAAATATTAATAAATCTACATAGAACTTCTCAGTATTGATTTAATAGGTGCCCATAATAGGTATTTTAATCATTTCCAATAAATTTAAAACAATATCAAAATTATAATTACAAATAATATGAGATATACGTATATTACAAATTTGATTTGTAGCAATTTCTATTAAATATTTCGGACAGAAAACGTTACTAGGAAATCGTTGCAATATATGGCGTGCGATCAACAAACAATTATTTTAATATCATCATCATCAGCCTATCAGAGCCCACTGCTGAGCAAAGGCCACTTCTCACATGGGTAAGATTTGAGCATTATTCACTATGCTTCCTAAAGACGTGTTAGTGATTTCAAACTTATAATTTGAAATTATAAGTCCAAGTTCTCTCACGATGTTTCTCCTTCACCGTCTGTCAATGGTGTCTAAATACACTTAGAAAGTACATAAGTCTCGGAAAAATTTAATTAGTACTTGCCACGTTTCGAACCCGCGCCTTATGCATAAGAGGGGTACCTTTAACCACTAGCCCACTGCGAGCACAATAATTTTAATAAAGACATCAATAGATAACGATTTGCCGGTAAAATAGTTACGTATATAAGTCGGTTACGACTTGACATTGATAACAAAACATACAGATGAAAAACATATTTTAATTCCATCGGAAATCTTCTTATAAAGCAGGTAACAGTTTTAAATACATATAAAACATCTGAGCTATAATTAATTTCAATTCTAATCGGCAACCACTATCTTTAAATGTACTTTTTCTAATTTAAACAGACCCAGTAAAAATATAACCATGGCTTACATACTTTATCAGGTTTTCTGACAATAGCCACAATATATGTAAGTGTATTAACATATTTTAGACAAAAAAAGGAATTCCATCCTTATAGGTAAACACAAAACTTAATGATATAAAAAACTAAAAATAATAACAAAAATAAGATAATTATTTTTTAAATATTTAGTTAAAGATTTTTTTTTAATGAAACGAACAAATAAAATTTCCTATTTTGAAGTAAGAGTAACACTGCGATTATGAGGAGTGCAATGTAATTAAAGGAAAATAGAAATAATATTTACGCTACTTATTTTACTACCGACTTAACACTTATTTTATTCTAAACACTATGTTTTCCTCAAATAGTAAAATAATGTAAGCTGAGAATCAGAAATGATGACACAATATACTATACATACATAAAGGCTTTCAAATTTCGACTTACCAAATCCAACTACTAGACTTCATGAGTACTGCTGAAAGCAGTACTTAAAACAAATACTTTTTATTGTTTTTATTAATTCTGTATTTATTAGTCTCGAACTCAATTTAAAGTTTTATTTGATTAAATATTTTAAGCGCTAACATCATTAATGTCATTATTTAAAACAAACTTATTAAGTGTAAAAATAATATTTAAGTGAATCTAATATTTTTCGGATTATATTATTATTGTAAAAACTACATACATACTCTCGACGTTTTTGTTACTTTTAAGCAACCGTGATCACGGACAGACGAGATGTGAATATTATCAAGTGTATTATTTTTGATGGGACAAAAAACTTTGCTACTATTAATAATACTTTTAATCTTGTATAAAAATATTTTAAATTGTGAAAACTTTTCACGAACAAAGTCAGTTTGAATTAATAATTAAAATTAATGAGCAAAATTAAGTGTGAATCTATCAGGTACAAAAATATAAAGAAGAAAAAATTTATACAATAAATTGGCAATTTGTCGTCTATTGCTATATCATTGAAATTATCTGTAAATATGGAAGTTATTGTTAAAGAATTAGAATAGAGTACAGAATCAAAAACATTTATTTTATTACGAATTCAACCTTTACATAGCTTCAAGTCAGATACAATTAAAGATAAAATTTTCCTTTCCTTACAAATAGTGTATGGACACTTTTTATGTACCTAATATGTATATAGCAATATACATATTAGCAATTATATATAATGTTGCAATAAATTATATTCAATTTAAAGAAATTTGTGAAAATTAATACATAATAACCTATTTTTATGGAGAAATGAATTTTTTTTTATAATATAATTATTTGGATATATGTTTAAGATCCTAAAACCTAATAAGCACGCATCCCACCTGAGGCCACGAAATAACGGGCAAAATGAGGTAAAATCGAAGTTACCGCAAGTTTAAAAAGTCTAATTTTCCTTCATACGCGACTCGAGTAGGAGGCAGCGAGAAACTTGCTTTGTAAATATTATTATGGACATACCTTCATAATAATATAAATGCAAACGCTGTATAATATGTAGTTTTCTTTAAACACTTATTAACGCCTACTATTTATGTAATGTAATTGTTAAAACAAATGAAAATAAATTATTGATGTATATTGAATTATTTTTATTGATCCATTCCACGTTATGTCCAAAACCAGAACAGGGAAAACCCGACATCGTGCAGAGGTATAATAAGGCAAAGTTGGCGATCGCGCTAGTGAGATTTTGCTCCAATCATAAGTTTATAAGAAAAATAAATAGAATTTGCATTTAGTTGCTTAAAATATGAACTTTTTATATGTATATTACTTAATCTTTAGTAACAATTAATTATTAACTAAAGTAACAAGCTTCTAACTTACAATTTTGTATGATAATTTGGATGTATATTTCGTGTTTTTTTTTATTTAAAACTGAAGTCGTACAGAGTGGGTCTGAATAAATTGTAGCTATGGCTCTGTTATCATGAATTTCGGAGATTTATTGAACAAAAAGAGCCTTTGTGTAATTCCAATACCATTGTAGTTATGTAGGTCATACGACATTACTTCGGTAGATTTTGCATGATTAATAAACACATGCAGGCAATAGCGTGTATAATATTACGATTGTAGGATAGGTTTGTAATATCAAATATTTTTATTATACGTTTATTCAGTTCCGGCTATAATTTTCAGATGAATAAAAATTGTGTAACCTAGTAACTACTACTCTTTTTATGAAACGAATATTTTTCGAATATACTACGCGTGCTTTATTTTTGTGAAAAAACTACATACTCTCGAAGTTTCGGCTACTTTTCAGCAACCGTGATCATTAAGACGAGATTTGAATGTTTTTACAAAAATAAAGTCGCGTTGTATAATCCAAAAAATATTACTATCACTTTAGATGAATAAAAGTATATTATGAATAAGACTAGATTTAAATCTCATTAAATACAATTTTTAGCTCGTTTTTAGTATTTTATATTGAAAAAAATTACTTTAAAACGACACAATATTATTTGTAAATCATTATAGTGTTTAATAAACGGAGTTTAGCTTTTTGGCATGACCAAGCTCTCAAATATCGGCGTGAAGTTGTTATTACAGCTGGGTTTCGGCTCGATGATTTAGAGGGTCCGAACCCCTAAACTCCTGGGGTTTTAGAAACTGATTTCCCAACCCACATATCTTTTTTCTTTTGCACCTTGAATTTTTTTATTAGCCATATTTACGTCAACTAAGTTGCCATTAAAAATAAAAGCGTAATTTAATTTATATTTATTTAAATACTGTTTCTAACAGTTTAAACTTCTATTTTCGTAGTTTTTACTACAAACAGTTAATATAAAATAATAGAATAACAATAACAAAGCAAATATGTAAGGTGTAGGTGGGAAGCTATAAATCGTCTGAAGATCTCGAGTAGACCAATTAGTACAAGATGTTGCCTTTCGCGGATAGCCTTATGTAATAAAACTGCATTGCTATTATAAAGATAATTATCAATACTTAAATAAATATAACACTACTAATATAATTGTTTGTTTTTTTTTATAAGCTACATATTAGAACTTTAAACTTATGCTTAAGTCCAAAACAAGATAATTTATTATCTGTTAGTTTTATAAATATGAAATGTCACAGATGACATATTCATGCTGAACAAAAATATTACTTTTATTTTTGATTTCATTTGGTGGCAAATTTAAATAGAACCTTTTTTGTGACATTGTTCCACTGATTCATCAGGATTTTTTTTATAGAATCTTTTATTAAACTAATTTAAATATCGAATGAAGTCGTTCCACGATTCTTGAACCGCCGCGGCAAGACTTTAGTTTTTAACGAATGCCGTGAAACGTTAATTACTTTCACAGTAATTAATTTCATTTAAACATCTGAGCAGCATTATTTTTTGCAAATATTTTATAATATAATGTGTTTATCAATTATTATGGAGCAATTAAATGTTTATTTAGGCATTTAGGAAAATCCTTTAGCCTGGAATCCCGTGTTGTCTTCCTGATTGATTAGGTCGACTACCAAACACAACCACATGCATATATCTAGGATTAGCTGAGAGCTATCAAGTTGATGCATTGCAACTGTTAGGAGAATCGAATGTTCTAGATTTCTACAACAGACGTCTCAAGATTGTGTTGATCTGATATACCTTGATTCATGACCTAACCTTTAACAAACAATACCACGTTGTATACATTCATTTAATTCGATTATTTAAGTTTACAGGTAAATGAAAGAGTTTAATGAACTCTTTCAATAAAGTCTATTAAAAGATTGTCTCCAGAAAAAAATATTTAATTTACACGTAAAGTAGAAAGAAAGTTTACATAAAACTAATATTATTCGGATTACTATCTGTATAATTTTTTTTAAAAACTACATACTAACGACCTTTCAGTTACTTTTCAGCAACCGTGATCAAGGGCAGACGAGATGTGAAACAGATTTCATAATAAAATACACGTAGTTATAATCCAAAAAAAATAGTTTCTTTTAAATGAATACCCGCGAAAGTCCTCATTAATAGGAAGAAAGTTATTGACTAATACTTCGCTAACATATCCACAGACAAACATATGTATATGCTACTAAAACATATTACAACATCCAGAATCCATAACAAATGTAAAAAATACATTAAGAATATGAAATATCTCCAAGCTGAATATATTTTTCGAGTAAAAGGCACCGGTTCGTACTAAGGTACTTGAAAACATGCTTTTTCCACGTAATGCCTTTGAGGAAATTAAATAAACTGCAACACCACATCATAAGCGTCCTTACTCCCGTACCGTTGTGAGACATGATCCATTAATACACGAATATTTTTATTTATTTATATATAGAAGAATTAATATTATTTTACATTTGTATTATAATTAGATATGAAATAAAATTATCACTTATCACTATTTAAGAATTGTTTGAAAACAACATCACATAACTTTTGAAATTTTCCTTTTTAATATTATAATACTAATGAGATCTAAGACTTCCGCGAGTATTCATTTAAATGAAACTAATATTTTCGTATTACTACGCGTGTTTTAATATTTTAAATCATTATAGTAGATAAATTTTGTGGTATAATAAACTTAACGAAAAATAAATACTTAATTGTAGTACGTATGTACAATGTACATACATTTAAACATACTGAAACCTTTTAATACATAACTAACTAACTTGCCTTTTCAGATTTAAGTACTCCCTCTCATATAAGGAGTACCTTATTTAAATCTATAATAAACATATATTATTAGATTTGAGTACTCTCTCTCATATATGGAGTATCAAATCAGGCAATTCTTAGAAATTTCCGCTAATGTATGTATATAGATTGTACTATTATATTTTCGTCAATCCCATGGGAATATCGTCCAGATACAATGGAAACTTTCACCTCATATACACACGCAGCCTCTAGGTTGTCTCGGCTTCCTTTTATTTGAGACCAAATACGATTTCACCGTCGTATATTCTTCGCTTTGTGAACTAAAGTGCAGCACTCCTGGGACCTGGATTCGACTCCCGAGTGTGGGACCTTCACTAGAAATGGGTATCTTTGTGAAATTATTACATCATTCGATTTCGTCAGTCAATAAAACTTGGTTATTATCATGATAAAAGTCTTAATAATTTGTTTATTTTCTTTATAGAATATTAATAAAATTAAGTAAATTTACGTAAAGAATTCCTGAATTCACCTGAACACATCAAAGTTTTCAATGAGTCGACAACAAATGCTCACATTTTGTTATTAAAGTAATAATATTTAGATAGTTTTAATTATATAAAATGAGAAAATTCCTAGCAACAAATCAAAGATGTTTAAAATAGTTTACAAAACATTGTTGTATACGATTAGTTATTAAATAAAACAATACACACAATAGTGTTTATCTATCGTAATACAATACAAATTAAATATTTCTCACAGTTAGTGACTGACGGACGGACAATGCGTCTGTGGTCCAGTATTCGATTAGGACCATTCAGATTAACTACTCAAAATGTACTTCGTTATCTATGCACTAGCCGTTATATTTGTAAGTATTATTTATGTTATATTTCTGTTAATAATTTAGAAGTGGGTTTCATAATATTGTTTTATTAATGATTTTACGTGATTAAATCAAACGGTTCTTGATTTTTTCAAAGTTAGACAAATATAATATTGAGTATTTATATGCATTAGTCCGGTCAAATTAGATATTCGAGGTCACAACTTTTACAACTTTTTGAATCGTCATATCTCAAAAACGGTGGCTTGTAGAAAAAAGTATTAACTTTATAGATAATTTTATGATCTACAATTTTTGTCTGAGATATTTTTATGATAAAACTTACAGTTTTACTGAAAATCGCGAAAAACACATTTTGTTTACCTTTGACCCTGAATAAAATTTTTTCCTTACAGGGGAAAGATGGGGAAATTTCAAATTTTATTTTTAATTGTATTTCAAACAATCTTAACGATTTTCTGCTTGGTGGAAATTTATGTAACCTTATTTTATTATTTGGTCTAATTTGACCGGACTATGTATCTAGAGAGTAAAGATTATAAAGAAATGTCAACATCGTGTAAATATTTCCAAAATATGTAACCCACCAGTCTTTATTACAGCAGTGTGGATTGAACTAAACTTAATAGTATTTGAATTTTCAGTGAAACGTTACTTACATAAATAAGTTTATTTCTTAAGTTGTAGTTGTATTGGTATAATATTGAATCACTATGTAACCTTTTAGAATTAATATTATAAGCTTGTTAATTTAATTTCAGACGAAAACTGTGGCCCTAGAATCGACCGAGGATGACTCCGATAATAACATATACAATTCATTTGCACCTTCAACAACAAACTTTCAAGACTTATATAGGAGTACATTCAACAGAAATGAAGAATCAACGCGAGGTGAAGACGAGTTCACGCTAAATGGTATCCAAACCGTAGAATTTCATCCGAAGGTACTGAAGATCTCTCGCATAACACCAGCCCCAAAATTACTCCTAAATGCTTCTTACTTAAAGAAGAAAGATGAAGTTACCGTAGCAATGTCAACAGAAGAACCAGCGCCAATCAAAGTTATACCAATATGGAAAAAGCAGAAGGGTGTGCTAGATGTACTCTTCCCTCCAACACGTGTGAAATCCTTTAAAAATGTATTCGATTCAATTCGCCGCATCCTTTCTTATACGTTTCGTAAGTGATCAAAATATTTTATGTTTATAATAGAATAAGTATGAGGTTTTAATTTGTGCATTTAGCAAAACGTTCTGTTAAGTTTTTTTAAATAAAATAGTATGTTGAAGCAATCAGCTGATATAGGGTTGCCAACAGAATATTGTACGTAAACGCCTGCATTATTGTAATCCTTTTAATATTAAATTTAAACACAGCCCTGAGTGAATTGATAAATTGCACATTTTTGTATCTCCAGTTATTACTGTTTTATTATATATTCGTTTTTATATTTAAATAGAATTGTTTTTCAAAATAAATGTTAGCATATTATGTATTGTTATTTCTTAAAACTTTGAACTCTGTTTAGATAATGACCTAAGTATTTTATAGGATTCTCGTATGACGCTAATACGATAACAATTTTAGCATGACTTGAAGCTTTTACAATTACCAGTACGTCCACTGTTTCATCATCATCAGTCTATCAAACTGCTACACCCACTGCTGAGCAAAGGCCTCTTCTCACATGGACATGGTTTGAGCATTAATCACCACGTTTGCTCAATACGTGATGGCGATTTCAAACTTATAATTTGAAATTATAAGTCCAGGTTTCCTCAGAATGTTTTCTTTCACTGCTTTTCAGTGATGTCTTAATACTCTTAGAAAGTAAACATAAGGTAGTTTAGTAATAAATTTAAGTCAATCTCTGCCTATTAAAAAGGAATGTACAATTGAAAATATCTAGTACTACTAATTGTAGAACTAATTGCAGCCTAGCCAAGTTGTGACTTGTAAAAGTGATGTCATAGTACGTGCTTCCAACTGATTGTAGTAATTACGATAGCCAGACGGTTCTACTGTTTGTCCTTAATTTTTTTTTTATTTGAACAGAATCATTGAAATTTTACAAACCAAAGTGATCTACATATTATTCCGAATACATTTTGATTTAAATAAAACATTAAAAAAACTTTCTATATATGTATATATTTGATATACAAAACGATGTCTAACATCAATATTATAATATTTTATAACATTGAAAGTCAATACATTGTACTCTAAAAATATAGATGAACGTTTTCGACAAGGACACTACTATTCTCAACTCTCGACACAACCAAACGTGTTTCCAGCCGATTGCTCTAATTACTCGCGTACTCTAGAGCCGCTATCTACAATTAATTTATTGGATTAAAGCCAAACTGAACAACTATATTTCGTTATTAATTACCGAATTTAATATTGCTCTTTGTTACATTATTACTTTTAATAAAAATATGATTTTAATATATTTTCTATCGAATGTTTGGTACCGTACGGCTGATGCGTAGTTTGTATAGCATATGTTTTAGCTTTCAGCGAACCAGTGAATGTTATAATGAAATTTCTGGCACTTTTGAACTACAACACCGAGTTAAAATTGGATATGCATTGTTAAATAAAACTCATATCACACAAAATAAATAAAAATGTATAATAATTTCACATAGAATGAAATGAATGTTGAAAAAAAAAGCAATCAGAAAAATTCGAATCGACTGAATACTCAATTCGAGAGACAGAAAATGTGATTTCTTTTTTTTTATGAAAATTAAGTAAAACGCTGACTTCGCCTAGGTGATAACTTTATATTGAAAGCTGAACGTCGAGCCTCGTAATGATCGTGAATGAACTTCTACATAAATATCATCAACATTTACCTCTCAATATATATGATGTACAAAAAATCATTAAACGAGTTTACTTAATACCTTCATCATCGCTACCAACATCACAGGTTATACTTAAGTCGGATTTATGAACCGAATTACGGTCGGATTAAAATGTTGAAAACTTAAAGGTTTAACGCGAAAATGAAATTCGCACTGGATATTACTGATTCATTCGATTTAATTATCGCTAATAGGATAAAGCCAGCCGATGGTTCGGAAACCAACGGAAACAAAAGTTCAAATTAAAGACTTCCAAGTTGAGCTACAGCTTCAATATTTGGCTATTTTATTAAACGTTACATCTTCATTTATAATCAAAGCAATTTTTTTTTGCGTGGATAGTCTGATGTATATAAAAAATCCTTTTAAATAGATTTATATAAAGAGAAAATCTAAAAAGATAAATTGTGTTATGTATGTATATATTCTGTATTTCTATAAAAGGAATTTTATAATTATTTCATTCAACATTATAAATATTTTTTATTCATTTGGTAGTTATTTATCAAATTTGAGATTTTGAAGCCATTCATTTATTCTTCAATAGATCAAGAGACTGCACTGAAGTTAAGGCAAAAATAATAATTTGTTAATTATACGCCAATTAACTCATCCTGTCAAATAAATATAGCCTTTATTGTACTTTGGTCATAATCCTTATAAAAATATGTATAATAGTAGTATCAATAAAATGTAATATTAAGATAAAGTAAGGCAAAGAGTAAAACATCCAAGTACTTCTACTGAAACATTATTTGTAATAAAAAATATTAATATGGATTTATGCTGTAATAAATAAAACATATATATATATATATAGTACTGGAATATCAAATCGTCCGAAATATAATCAAATAGAAATATGGATCTGTCTTAAGCTGTGCAATCAAAAATATAAGATACATATATCAGTATTATTTAGGAAAATACAAGAAAATATTTAATTATTATTAATTTAGAACTATATTCATTGAAGATCCAATATCTACAGCAACTAAGCTGTGGAGTAACAGACTTCTTACACGCTGTTCTAACGGGTGACAAGTTTTGTTCTACTAACAATTTCTACTTGCTATTACTTGCATATATTTCTATATACAGCATAAGAAACATATAATAAATAATATATGATAGTAGTTTATTAATATATTACTAAATTAAACCCAAACAATGCAACATCATAATCTATTATAAAAGAATTTTAAATAAAGTGAACTAGGACAAACTCACACAAGCGTTAAATGAATCAACTTTTATGAGTTAAGATCACTCCGATTTTTACCAACTTTTAGGTTTTTCGCCGTGTGATGAAGACCTTCCTTAGTTTTAACGACTTTTTGCTAATATCACGAGTTTTCTGCCAGAAAAAGCAGACTTAAGTCTCTAATAATATATCAAAAGATACAGGTGGTGTTGCTTCGTATTTATTATCTTAACATTTCTATACAATTCTAACTAAACTATACACAATGTCTTCGTGTCATATAAATAAAAAATAATATATTTTAATATAATTCATAACCGATTTTTGTTTTTAATTTGATTAAAATGATCTGATAATTATTTACGATTATTCTTTAAACATTCTAAACCTAGATGACAATTACTTCAGTTGTTATTTAACACAATAACACTTATAATTTGTACTAATTTACAAACAATATAAAATTTTATATTAAGGTCTATTTTATATGTTTGTCTCTAAACAAAACGTAAAGAAAATATATATTTTATGCTTATTAAATGTCAGATATTTCTAAATAGTATAAAGATTAAGACTTATTAACGTTTGAAATTATATTGAACATGTTCAACCATATACAAACTTTTCAACGCTCCACGATTTACCCTCAAATTTCACTCCACCAATAGTAATCTCAATTAAAATATAATTTCATTCAAAAGCATCATAATTAAAAAAGTGAAAAAAGTTCACTACTGAAATATTTTTTGATTATAAGTCATCTGGTATTGAGGTATAAATTTTAATTGAATCAAATAAATTTTGTATTCATTGGAGTTTCATTTTCATTATCATGGTAACCCTTTAAGTTTTCAAACATTTTAATTCGCCCCTCGTAACTGTATATCAACTTAGGTCGATAGCTCATTGATTTCGGATCAGTAACAGGGGCTTAATAGAATCCTTTAGAGACTTTTGTGATTAATACCAACTTATAAATTATAATTGTTATTTTTTATACTTACAAAGCGCTGTTTAAACTTCACTGAAAGCAAAAAATTATGTTTTATTCGTTAAATTTTATTCCTAAGAGTTCACTCACATATTTTATCAGTCAAGTATTAAATTCTCGCTTACCAGAGTCCGTTTCAGAATGATTTATAGAAATAGATATAAAATTAAAATTTAATCAAACAAAAACCAAAAAAACAAAGTTTTTATTATCTGTCGAATACGTTACACGCCAGCAAGTAGTGGTTTTCATTTATGACTGTAAAGAACAAAAATAGAGTTCATTTTCACCCTATGTGACTTTTTATTTTAATTAGTGCAAACACACCAACACTTATAAATGAATTCTTAGTAGTAATAAGATAGTATCTATATAGATGTATAAATATATTGAAATAATTCTCCTTACCAAGAATAGCATATCATTTAATTAAACAGAAGTTTTATTAAACAATGCATATTAAAATACATCTCGGTTCTATTCCAGTTCAAAAGTGCCAGAAATTTCATTATAACATTCACCGCATGAGAGCTTTACAGTCAAAAGCTGAAATTATTAAGCATATTATGTTAGTAATAGCTCATTTTGATTACAAATTAAATTAATATAAAAATATCATACAAAATAAACAATCAAAAATTCAATTAGTATAATAATTATCATTATTCTTTATTGAGACCTGTTTGTTTGTTTCTGTTTCCAACAGCCTAGAGTAACGAATGTTTCAATAAATTTATAAACATTCATTGCAAAAAAATCAAGTCGGAACGAAATAAACTGTCTACTGTGTTCACAACTAATGATGTATGTTGCAGCGGACGACTTTATACTTCCAGGCTCGCAAACTTGACAACTTAAACACAGTGGATCAATACAGTACTTTGACTTTTAGAATGTACTTACAATGTAGGAATGCTTCATAAACAAAACTAAAGGATGTATTAAACACAGACAGTACGAAGAATACTTAACTAAAATTACACTAGCCAAATCATTTCATTGCATAAACGAAAAAAGGAGCAGAAATATCTTTTTATAGAACGTCAGCAAAAACGTGATTACGCTCAAGTCGTCAAAGTTTTAAATTTTACTTGTCAGTTGAATTTTTAATCAAGATAGAAAAACGACATCATTAAGAAGGGTATAACTTTAACCCTTCGTTTTAATATTATGATTATTATTTCCATACTTTTACACTATGATTTATTAATGTGTATGTGTAACCTGTTTTACGTACTTCTTCGTACAGTAACTGAGTCTTTTAAGATTTCCGATGACGTGATTGAGTACAACCGCAGGATAAACCTAGTATATTTAAAACACATAGTAATGCTTTGCTTCAACATTTTAAATACTGTTTCAAAAGACTTTTAGTACACTAGTACAGAAAACATAGACACGGTTTATTGATAAATTGAACATTAACTTTATAGTTCTGGATGTTTAAAAGACTTGCATTTCATTTTCTTTCATATGAATAAGAATTAGTCAGAATTCTCTACATATAGATAATAGAAGGGGCAAATGAGGTTCGATAAACTTAAACACATTAATTTCTTTAATTGGGAATTCATTTTATTTGTATTTTAATAAATTTTGTATATAATACAACAAAAGTTATGGAACAATGTGAGTGAGTTGCAAATATTCATAGCCAATTACTACTTCTCTATAATTTGCTTAATAATTCTTTCGAAACATATCTTAGAATAATTAAGATTTTATATGTGGCACATGACTCTATTTACATTATTTTTAAACAGACAACTCAAAAAAATTATATTTAATCCTTGACGACCTAGTTTTTTCGCCTATGAGTAAAAAATTAATCAGGTATAAGCTATACGACTAAAATATTGTCTATAACAATAAGTTTCTGATATGTAATCAACTTTAGAGGGCCATTTCAAATTAAACGAGACTTAACCTTATGTATTTACAGAAGGCTTTTGGCATAGTTTATAATTCTCAGCATACCACCACCGACTGAAATTTTTCATAGAATGATTTCTTGAAGGATTATTCAATATTTCGCACACACTACAAATTCCATTTTCTTTCGGAGCTTTTCTATATGTATAATGATTATGCCACCTGAAATATAAGTGTTGTTGAAAGAACGTCCATATATTTTTACTGCCTAGTTTTTATAAGTAATTAAGCATTTATGAAGACAAATAATTATTATATGTACGAAAGTACCTGAAGTAATTTTGGTAAATTTCTGGTGATCTAATTGCTTGTTCTATTAATGACACAACTTCATCACCAGACAATTTAACAGCGTCGATATAGGACCCAGGTGGTAAAAATCTGAAAACATACAATTTAAAATCATTCTGAAATAGAATAGAATAGAATTATACTTTTTGCTTAGTTTTGTTCTCACTATACAGAAAATTAATTTGAATTGAGTTCTAATCTATTTTTTATAAGTCGTGTAACAAGAATGAAGAATTTATCTTTTCTCAAATAATTTTTGCAGGAATAGCAATAATACTAATAATAATCTCAGACCTGGAATAATTTGCGCCACCGTACACGATGGGCACAGCATAATTCTGCAATGGCTGCAAAATCTCTTCCGTCACATAATCTTCTTTCAATGCCATCTCAAAAGCAAAGTAAAAATAGTAATCTTTTTTTAGCAGGACAAGACATTCTTCTATTCTTTGTTTAGGACACTTCAAATTACCACACCAGCCGTAGATATCCAAAGTAAGATTCCGTTTCTTTAATAGTTTCTCTACATAACTAGCTACCGTTCCAATTGTTTTAGAATTTTTTGTATGGCAATCAGTCAAAAACCAGGCGACTGCCTTTTTTTTATTTTTTATTATTTTTTTTACATCTTCAGATGTAGGTTTCATGGGATCAATCCAAGCCATGTTACTCTTAGGACCTATAATGGAACCATATTTGTTAAGGATTTGAAAAGGTGTTTTAATAATGTCTGAATCTAACCTGTATGTCCAAGTCAGGTTAAAGTAGTTATCATAGTTATATGTTAAACAAATTTCACCATTATTCACATGGTCTAGAGCTGTAAATATATAAGTTTGGTGCGGTGATCTAAAATGTGGATGTTTATCCCATTCACTGTCGACGTCAAAAATTATAGCATCGAAATGTCTTATATCCAGTAGAAAATGTTGAGTATTAGTTATAAAACAGTTGTAGTAAGAACAGTTGTTAACAATGAAGGCCCTTTGTCCGTAACTGTACTCATCATTTGGATGAGAGAAAACCTCATTCCATTTCAGTATGAACTTCAAATCCGTTGGAAATCTGACGGGTCTTTTAAAATCCATGGAAAGTATAGTTGTATTGTTTTTGGGTTTTTTAATTTCACGCATCATCCTCTTCAAAACACCAGGTGTTCTTACAATGTAATGTATATCTACTATATCTTGTTTTTCATTAAGTATAATATATTTTAAACAGTGTAAGAATACACCGCAGTATATTCCTACCAGTATGAATTTAACTGTTCTACACATGACACAATAGCCTACACATAAATGTAAAACTCTCTCCAAGTTCCAACTAAGCATTTGTTTATAAACACAATTGATTACTTTGTTTATTTACACGGATCATTATTAAACATTACTGGAGATATGAAACAGTGGTAGACAATCAGCATGCAAAGGCTTTGTCATGTTGGAAAACAAACTATGCATGTACTCGTATACTAGACGTGAAATTAAATATATTATCTCTTTGTCCGGCACTCGTCTAACTCGTTACTCTTGTGTATGCAAATGACTAAAAGTATGAGTGGCGCCCTCTTACGTGCCTGTTATTATGTTTACATTGTTTTACATCCGAAAAATCTTTTCAATTACGTACTTTCACACAAAGCCTTTCTATGTACACTCTTAAATATATACTTCATCAACATATTTTAAAATAAAATGCGAATATTTCTTTATTCTTAATCAGTGCTAAAATTAAGTTTGAAACTTTTTTCGTTTCTGACGCAAACCTGAATATTAGCGGAAAGTCATTAAAAGTAAGGACGTTGTTCATCACTCGCAAACCTCAAAGTCGTTATTAAATCGCGTCTACGGAACCTTAACTTATAAAAGTTGATTCATTTAACGCTTGTACGCGTACGGGACCGACATAACTTCAAAGTATTATATATAGTTGTTATGAAAATTTTCCGTCTGCCGTCTAGCTTAACGGCTGTAATGTCAAAAACCTTCGTAGAGAAAGTTGCTTATTTTAAAAACTTACATTCTTTTTATTGATAACTAGAAGACCTGGTGAACTTCGTATCGCCCTATTATCAAGAAATATCTATTACGTTTTTTTATTTATATTTTTGGAGTTTACCTGTAAGCCATAAATCTCCGTGTTTTGAAGTACGACAGAATGATTGACATATTAGTTAGTTGTCAAATCTTATGTCAAAAAAAACGTTTTTATGGGAAATAGAAAAGGGCTGTTTTTATGGTTTTCCCAGTAATGAATAAATTTTTTTCAGCTTTTATACCTTCCCTGAACCTCCACGAACATTTCAAGACTAAGATAAGATAAATCCGTTCAGCTGTTCTCGAGTTTTAGCGAGACTAAGGAACAGCAATCCATTTTTATATATATAGAAGACTACATAGCATACGATATGTTATGTCAAGCAATTTCTTATATCTTGTTTTAGTTTTTCTTAAATTTGTATCATATAGCCTGTCTTTTATTATATATTTTGTATTCAAGCATGTTTCACATTGAATTTTATTTGACGTAACATAGATTTTCACAAATATAATTACCAATTACCATCTAGCATTTATTTGATAGATCTTAAGATTCTGCGTTCTTATGATAATTTATTTTGAATTCGTTTTATAATCAATAAATTTTACGATATTTAACATTTATTTCCCAACAGTTCTATCGTCTGTACTAGATCAAAATACATTTCGACTAGTTTTAAATAATAATTTGAATAAATATGTATATAAATAAAAGTTTACTCAAGACTGTGTACTTGAAAAGCCATATCATAAAACAATAAGCAAGCGTCGTCGTCTTTATCAGCCTATCAGCGCCCACTGCTGAGCAAAGGCTTCTTTCTCACATGGAGAAGGTTTGAGCATTAATCACCACGCTTGCTCAAGACAGGTTGGTGATATCAAACTAATAATTGTGAAATTATAAGTCAAGGTTTAAAGACGATGTTTTCCTTCACCGTCTGTCAGTGGTGTCTAAATACTCTGAGAATGTACATATGACTTGGAAAAATCACATAAGCAAGCATTTAAATTTAATTCATACGTTACGACACCATAACATACCATACCATCAATGTGAGATGCCCAAACTCTTTCTTCAGAAGTCCTTAAGCCTAATGGTAGCCACGTGATCCCTTATATAAATAACTAGTTGCTACAAAGTTGGCAAAAATAGCTGTTCGACTAACGAAATCTCTCTACAGGCCGTTCCAACTTGGTAATTAGTTTCGTTTCCTCTCCCAGTGCACGCTCACTATGAAGACTTACTGTCTTTGTTAATACTCATAAGTATTATATAATTATTCATTACATATAATTTAAAAAAATACATATTTTCTGTATTTCATATAAATATGATATATAAACAAAAGATATTTTTTTTACATATATCAATAAAATTAGTAATTGCTTTTATCTTTTCGATAATGTTCTGAAATCAAAACACTATAATAATTTCAAATTTAATAATATTATTTACTTCTTTATATAGTATTCATATAATGTAAGTACAGATATAACATACCTAACATATAAACTAGAAACAATTGTATGAATGTCAATAATTTATAATAAAATTTATAACTAAGACCCATACTCTGTACAAACATTCCAAGTAATCTGATAAGAAGCTATATCATGAAACTTATAGTATTAACAGTTGTGAACATTTCTAGCTATAATTAAACTACACAGAGATTTTTATTACAACTCATTAACACATACATTTTGTATTACTATATATATATGAAGATGTTCATTTAAATGTATTATACATTTTATATAACTAAATGAACAGTTTTATGTTAATAGATTCATTTATTTTGTATAGTAAATGTAAACATAATCAAATGATAAGACAAAACTACAGTCACACTCAGATTATCTCGGCTGGCACTAAGTTTCCAAACAGCTTAGGAGTCTATTAAGTATTAACAATATTCTAGAACAATAGTTTCCCAGCACATTGAAACTCTTAGACTATATAGTCTAAGAGTTATAACTATAAGTAGATAGTTTATCTCGTACTGCGATATCTAGATTCGTTGAACAAATTTATTAACTGAATACCTATACTAATAAGAAATTTAATTTTTTTTTAGCTGCTAAATATTTCAGTCAATAAAGAATTAAGAAAATGTTATAAATATGTTAGTTCAAATAATTTTCATTAATAAATAATTTACCATATTCAGCAAGATTTTTATATCTTACCACAGCATAATACAATATTTACTGTTATAATAAAACATTGTATTTTCTTCAGGCTTGTTAGCCGCTGGTCGTTTTTTTTTACATTTTTTGTACATATTTATAAAGATGCTGGATTAAATTCAATATATAAATGTATAATCCGTCATTTTAAGAACGTTATTATATTTTTATATAGAAAAATGTTTGTAAGTTAACACAACGCGACGGTCTCACTCCTAATAATAATGTTTTTGGTAGTATAATATATCATAAATAACTCTTATATGAAGTTCAATGAACTCTTTAAAGTATTTTCACTTTCTTCAAAATCTTACACAGTTTTACAGTTTGAATAACATTTATATTCTTATCATAAGCCATAACAGATTACTATCCTCTTATTTTAAGTATATATATATGACAATCGAAAGGTTAAATATCTTTTTTGTACGTCGTATTCAATGTTTTATCACACACCAAAACTATAGACCTCCTCTTTAGCTTTCAGTACAAATAAATTGCTCTAAACTTACCGAGTCATCGGCACGCCTCTTTCGTGTTGTCTCCAAACAGGCAGTCTTTCTTTCTACGAGTATCTATCCTGTCTCTTTTAAGTATGTCCCACTGTAATAAAACGTACAACTGTCTCCTTTTATTGTTTCTAAAACGATATGAGTTTTTATAAAGCGACGATATACTTATCTTTTAGGGGATTAAATTCATAAACGGAAACATATGTTCAATTATGTTTTCTTATATGAGATTTTCATTCTTAACTGTGTGAAAGTCTTTAATGAATGAAAATAAAGAAAGTTAATCATGGTGATATGAAGTAATAAAAGTCAGTGGTGGCCTAGTGATTAAAAAGCCCGACTCTCATGCATGAGGGCGCGGGTTCGATCCTGGCACGTACCAATGTGATTTTTCCGAGTCATATGTACTTTCTAAGAGTATTTAGATATCACTGATTAATGCATTCCCAAAGAGGGTTGATAACAGGCACGCGGTCAGTTATAAAAAATTAGGAAAAACTATTCACAACATGTAAGGCAGACCCTAGCTAAAGCTGGGAAATTGCCAGGTAGAAGAAGAAGTATAAATAAGTTTATTGTTTAAATTACATCGGATTTATATTGGAAAAACACGAACAAAGTTAAATAGATTAGATTAGGATGTAAAATTTAACATAATTCCGTGTACCAGGTGCGAAAGTAAAAACACCTTATTCATGGATTATATTTCGTTGACACTTCAACTGATATGGGTGCGGACGGCATTCCTATTACCGGGCATACCATAAAATATAACTTAGAACAGCTATTGTAATAACGACCGTGTTTTTGAAATTAATATAACGATATTTACGACATTCTATAATAATGTTGTATTGGAAAATAAGATTTATATATTATTATACGTTGGTTGAGATTTTGAGAGTTTCGAGATCATATTTTTTTTGGTTTTTTTTTTGTTATTCATCAAATTAATCGAATAGTTATGTATATTAACTATTCTAAAATCTAACTATTATAAAATCATTATCATCATCACGGGCCTATTAGAACCAGCCGCTAAGCAAAGACTTCTTCTCACATGGAGAAAGTTAGAGCATTAATCACCACGCTTGCTCAAGGCGCATTGGCGATTTCAAACATAATTTCAAATTAAAAGTCCAGATTTCCTTACGCTTTTTAACGCTTGTCAGTGGTGTCTGAATAAAATAAATACAAAAAAGTATATTCAAAAAAATCCTTATAAGAGCTAAAAGTTATTGAACGTTAAATATGAGTTGAAAAACCCCGTCAAAACAACCATTTGGCTAGAATAAAAGGAATACAGATAACAAAACAACATAAAACCAAAACGAAATATATTACAAA